TGAATTTAACTAGTACTGTATATACATTAGCTAACCAACACATATAAAATGGTCACAAAAGAATGATAATGATGATATTGTAGTGGATTTCTCCCCTACAAACGCTGTTTGTCGCTGAGTAGCCGACCCCGTGAATTCCCCAGTGTATGCCTCGTGGTCTAGGTCAACCAGCGCCGCCTTACATGACGGAGGTCAACTAGAGAAAAGCAAATTAATCAACGACTCTCAACATGGGTTTACAAAGGGAAAATCTTGTCTAACAAATCTGCTAACGTTTTTTTAGGAAAGTCTTCAAGGTAGTAGATAATGACGAAAATTACGATGTTATTTGCTTAGACTTTAGCAAAGCATTTGACAGAGTACCGCATCAGAGGCTTCTGAGAAAAATTAAGGCTCATGGTATCGAGGGGAAGTTTTAAATTGGATAAAATCATGACTCGCCGATAGAACGCAGAGGGTCAGCGTAGATGGTGTTAAATCTGAGTGGGGCCGTGTAACCAGTGGGGTTCCCTAGGGGTCGGTACTAGGCCCACTCTTGTTTATAATCTACATAAACGATCTAGATACTGGGATCAGCAGTGACATAGGCAAGTTTGTGGATGACACCAAAATAGGGCGGCAAATTAATTCAGGGCAGGATGCAAATGCATTACAGGAGGATCTAAATAAACTGCAGGGGTGGTCTGAAAAATGGCAAATGAAATTCAACACCAGCAAGTGCAGCATACTTAATATTGGAAGAACAAATACTTATAATGTATACAGCCTTAACAACATCAACCTAGAGAAGTCGACTTGTGAAAGAGACCTAGGGGTACTTGTAAGCCCGGACCTACGGCCTAGAAAACAGTGCGTTAATGTTCGAAATAAGGCAAACAGAGTATTGGGTTTTATATCTAGAAGTGTAAGTAACAAGAGTGCAGAGGTCTTATTGCAACTATATCTTGCGCTAGTCAGGCTGCACCTCGATTATGCGGTTCAGTTCTGGTGCCCCTATTATAGAATGGATATAAATTCACTAGAGTCGGTGCAGCGAAGAATGACAAAAATGATTCCGGGACTTAGAAACCTTCCATATCAGGATAGGTTAAAGAAACTTAACTTACATTCCCTAGAAAGACGAAGAGTGCGGGGAGATATGATAGAAGTATTTAAGTGGGTGAAAGGAATCAATAAAGGGATATAGATAAAGTTCTTATAATATCCGAGCAGGATAGGACTCGGAGCAACGGATTCAAGTTGGATAAGTTTAGGTTTAGGAGGGAGATAGGAAGAAACTGGTTCACAAATAGGGTGGTGGACGAGTGGAACAAGCTTAGCAACTTTGTAGTAAGTGCTGGAACTCTGGAAAGTTTCAAAAGGAGGCTAGATAGATTCATGGATGATAGAGAGTGGTAGTAACTCTCGACAGGAGCTGCCATGCACAGGCCAACCAGCCTATTGCAGACTCCTTATTTTCTTATGTTCTAAGCCACGCCTACCTCTGCTATAAAAGACCTGACCTCGTGGTGCCCTCTTCTTCAAGCTACAGCCGCCCATAACCCCACACCATTTGTGGAGTATGGATAGTTTGGGTTCTCACTCAGGATGGGATGGAGAAAGGAAACTCACAATGTGCTCACTTTATACATGTTGTATTGGATGAACAATGCAGCTTGGTGCTGGGAAGTGGCAATGTGGTTACAAGCGTGATGTAGAGAGAGCTGGTTGGTGAGGGTGCTCAGAGGAGGACAGCTTGTGGGTCACCATGCTCGCCGGCGGGAGCGAGGGCTGCCAGGCAGCGGCGGAGGAGGTGGTGTTGCTTGCTGCGGCTGTAGCTAGAAGAAGAGGGTGGTCACCACAAGGTCAGGTCTTTTATAGTGGAGGTAGGCGTGGCTTAATAGTTGACCATCATGTAAGGCGGCGCTGGTTGACCTAGACCACGAGGCATACACTGGGGAATTCGCGGGGTCGGCTACTCAGCGACAAACAGCGTTTGTAGGGTAGAAATCCACTGCAAGACTCCCCCCTTCCCTCCAGGCGGTGTAGGAGACTTGTTGTCTGCAGAGTTGCATGGCACATTTGAGGCAGAACGGCGAGGGCGTGGATTAGCCGGCCGCTAGAGGAGACAACTGTCTAGATACACAATATCTGTGGGAGTAGAGAGGGAGAAAAAGGGTGTGTGGAGGCGATGAATGTTGTTCTTCCCTCATGACAGGTACAGAGTCGTCAGATGCGCCTGCTGGGGTGTGTGGGCCTGGGTCAGGAGCTGCGTCAGCAGAAGCAGATGAGGGCTCGTGACAGCAGCTGGGTCCACGACAGCAGCAGGGTGCAGGACAGTAGCAGGGAGTACCTGAGGGAGAAAAGAGGGGTGTGTGGGTCCGCACTCAGGTGCATGGGCCGCGTCGGGAGCAGGGGCTGCATCAGGAGGAGCGGCAGGGGGTACTGCTGGGCCGGGGGCGGCGTCTGAGGCAGGACGGGTGTGCTGGGGTCGGTAGGACGTGGTGCTTGGGGCAGGAAGAGGAGCGGCTGTCTGCTTAGAGTCGCAGAGCTGCTCTAGGATGTCTAACCTGAGGTGTAGAGACAATAGCTGTAGAGCCGATGAGAGCTGCTTCTGGGTGGATAAGCCAGTCTTCCATGTTGCTTGAAGACTGGGAGCGTGATCTGTTTCTCCTCTATCCTGTGTGAGTGCGAATCTCCGGGGGTCACCATTTGTGGGGTATGGGTTGTTTGGGTTCACACTCAGGATGGGATGGAGGAAGGAAACTCACAATGTGCTCTCTGTATACATGTTGTATTGGATGTACAATGCAGCTTGGTGCTGGGAAGTGGCAGCGTGGTTACAAGCGTGATGTAGAGAGAGCTGGTTGGTGAGGGTGCTCAGAGGAGGACAGCTTGTGGGTCGCCATGCTCGCCGGCGGGAGTGAGGGCCGCCAGGCAGCGGCGGAGGAGGTGGTGTAGATTACTGCGGCTGTAGCTAGAAGGAGAGAGGTCACCACGAGGTCAGGTGGTGACCGCTCTCTTTTCTACCTACAGCAATCAGCCAGCAACACCTCCTCCTCCTCCGCCTGCCTGGCGGTCCTCCTCCCGCCGGAGAGCATGGCGACCCACAAGCTGTCCTCCTCTGAGCATCCTCACCAACCAGCTCTCTCTACATCACGCTTGTAACCACGCTGCCACTTCCCAGCACCAAGCTGCATTGTTCATCCAATACAACATGTATACAGAGAGCACATTGTGAGTTTCCTTCCTCCATCCCATCCTGTCGAGAACCAAACTACCGTACCCCACAAATGGTGACCCCCGGAGATTAGCACTCACACAGGATAGAGGAGAAACAGATCACGCTCCCAGTCTTCAAGCAACATGAAAGACTGGCTTATCCACCCAGAAGCAGCTCTCATCGGCTCTACAGCTATTGTCTCTACACCTCAGGTTAGACATCCTAGAGCAGCTCTGCGACTCTAAGCAGACAGCCGCTCCTCTTCCTGCCCCAAGCACCACGTCCTACCGACCCCAGCACACCCGTCCTGCCTCAGACGCCGCCCCCGGCCCAGCAGTACCCCCTGCCGCTCCTCCTGATGCAGCCCCTGCTCCCGACGCGGCCCATGCACCTGAGTGCGGACCCACACACCCCTCTTTTCTCCCTCAGGTACTCCCTGCTACTGTCCTGCACCCTGCTGCTGTCGTGGACCCAGCTGCTGTCACGAGCCCTCATCCGCTTCTGCTGACACAGCCCCTGCTCCTGACCCAGGCCCACACACCCCAGCAGGCGCATCTGACGACTCTGTACCTGCCGTGAGGGAAGCACAACATTCATCGCCTCCACAACCCTCTTTCTCCCTCTCTTCTCCCACAGATCTTGTGTGTCTAGACAGTTGCCTCCCTAGCGGCCGGCTCATCCACGCCCTCGCCGTTATGTTCACATGTGGCATGCACCGCCCGTTCTGCCTCACATTTGCCATGCAACCCTGCAGACAACAAGTCTCCTACACCGCCTGGAGGGAAGGAGGGAGTATTGCAGTGGATTTCTCCCCTACAAACGCTGTTTGTCGCTGAGTACCCGACCCCGTGAATTCCCCAGTGTATGCCTCGTGGTCTGGGTCAACCAGCGCCGCCATACATCACGGAGGTCAACTACTAAGCCACGCCTACCCCCGCTATTTAAGACCTGACCTCGTGGTGACCACTCTCTTTTCCACCTACACCAATCAGCCAGCAACACCTCCTCCTCCGCCTGCCTGGCGGTCCTCCTCCCGCCGGCGAGCATGGCGACCCACAAGCTGGTCCTCCTCTGAGCACCCTCACCAACTAGCTCTCTCTACATCACGCTTGTAACCATGCTGCCACTTCCCAGCACCAAGCTGCATTGTACATCCAATACAACATGTATACAGAGAGCACATTGTGAGTTTCCTTTCTCCATCCCATCCTGAGTGTGAACCCATACCCCACAGTACCTCAAACAAAAGAGAGGAGGGTCGAATATAGATGAAAAAATCTAGATATAAGAGGCAATATTACCCTAAATGGGGATGTTTAATACGAAACAAATAAAAATGAGGAGCTGAGACTGTTAAAATAAAAAAAAAATTAACAAAGAAACGGAGAAAGTAGGGAGAAATCAATAGCTTATGATTGATAGAGAAAGAGTAACCAATGAATGATATGGTTTGGTTTGTTGCCTGTACTGTAGACCTGTGCAGTTTATATACAGGAAAAATCAATTGTAAACATATATGTTAACTTTACTGAGCAAACTGTTATTATGAATTGCCTGAAGAATTGATCCCTCCTCACTAGCTTATTTTTCTAAAGATTAACCATCCTAATGCTATTTTTAGATCGGTTGATGTTAGGTTAGGTTAGATAAAGTAGAATTAATGCTAGGGTGGTTAATCCTTAAGTGTAATAAGCTGGGGTAGAGATTTTTCAGGTGAGCCATAAAAAATTAATTATATTTCAAATTTGGCGCTGTGTGACGTCATGATGCCAGTGGCGCCAAGAAAACAGAGCGGCGTGTCGAGGAAGTATCATCCGGGCTCTGGTGAAAGTTGATTGTCCGCCATTATTTTACCTGAAACTTCACCAGGCAAACTTCATCCCCGGTCATCCATCTCTCCTCCGAGGGAAGCCGTCTAATTTACCCCCTTGTGCTTCACCAGAAGTCGCATGTCAATCCAGAATCTTAATACTTTCGGTAAGTGGCCGCCATCACAGTGAAAATGACACATTCTCATCAGCTGGGCATCCATGACAAATCAAGACTGGATGTCATTCTTTCGTCCTTCGAGTCTTACCACCTTATTATATCTCTCACCTTCCTTCCTAATAGCCCTACACAGCTACTGACCACTCAGGAATAAAGGGGGCTATTTATTTTGTGTGAAAATTCCGGTTATATAAAACTATAGGTGTTACAAAGCTGGGGAAGAAATAAAGGAAATTTAGATTACTAGATTTTGGGTACAAAATTACGAGGGAATAAATGGTCCGGCAAACCCATTAGTACAGAAACCATATTATATCATGTAAACCTGTAAAAGAGGGACACAGGGCTCTTAATATTAATAAAAATAATCTCAAGAAAATACCAGAATGTTCTTGGTAGTGAAGAGATGAAGGTCACGTATTAAACAAATGGAATTATTTCTTGTTATAATTCCTTCACACTTGTTTATATTGGTACATTATGTCCATTATTTAATGTATTTAAATCTAGGTGACCCAAGAAGGTGTTAACTTAATAATTTATATCGGGGTCCATAATAAGGTTTCAGTAATGGACTTTTAAAGGTTTTAGTTGAGTTTTTTTTTGTCTTTTCAAGTGTCTGGGTATATGATGAACCATTGTGAGCTTCTACATTATATACAGAAGCATGTGTGTGTTTCTGTAACTACACATGTTGAACTATATACATGCCAGACTGAATGTGACCCTGTGTGATGAGTTTATAGAATTTGTATAAGTAATTATTATTATACTCACAGTGAAGGGCTACTGTGGGGTGGGGTGGGGTGGGGTGGGGACTCAAAAACGACAGATTTGCGCCATGATCGACGGTCAAATTCATTTAAAACACACAGGGAAAAAAAGTAATTTCCTCACTAAAATATGCATCCTAACCTAACAACTTCAAAATAGTGGAAATCAGATCCATTACTCAAAGTAGCCATACTGCGAATGAAAATATTTGATAGTGGACGATGGGTAATTCAAACAAAAATGAATTTGATTGGCCGGAAATGAAGCTGGTGGTTGGGCGGAGCTGTCCGGCACATGCGGACAGCGGGTCACATATCTTCACGACTATGTATTTGCGATGGAAATATTATAGAAGAAAATTGTCTTGGAATTTTCTGTATATTTCGCGGGGTCTGACCCATATCGTCACCACTATTTTTAACCCGTACGTCACCAATGCTCTACCCCTTTCGTCACCCCGTTCATTCCCATCGAAATATACACGAAAATAACTGTTGTTTGGGATATACAGTAATAAAAAACACTAAGACAATTTATTAAAGACGAAAATAAAAACATTGTTAATACACCTGCAATCATCTCACTGCTCGGTGGTTTATGCGCTGGTGCCAAATCACCTTCATTTGTTCCGTATTTTGTTTATTTACCAATGTTGAATAGTTTTCTTTATTAATTAATAAATATGTACGTATAATGATAACACAATACCTATCGTGTCGTCTGTATACATGTGTAATATTTATTCGTGTAAAATAATAACTTAAAATTGATATTGGTAATGAACCGGGTCGGTCGGTGACGAAATGGGGTGTATCTGATTTCACACATGTTGCCAGATTTATCGTAAATAATTATCGGACTAAAGTTAACAAATACCAATTCTAATGTTAAGCAACCTAACCTAACCTAAGATAATGGGTAAGTTTACAGTTTCAGTCATAACTATTGATTCGACTGCTAGGTTTTTGTTTTTCTCCTGGTATTTGGTGTGATTCATTTGACCTTCATTTCTGTCGGAAATTATTCTTTTGGACCCCCCCCTCCCCCCCCACGACCCAACCTAACTAACCATAGAAACCTACCTAACCTTACCTAACTTCCTAGCTGTTCCTGTTATATTAAAAAGAAAGTACTTATTTTAATATCTGGTACCAATGAAAGTAACTTTTTTGAAACATCATGGTGTAATTTTATGTTTTTTGTGGTTGTGAGCGTACAGTACAGTTCAGGTAGCGGTGATTGAATGGGTTGACTGTAAACAATCTGACGACAAAAATATTCTAAAGATTCTGCTGGATTTTTGCGTGTACAGAACAGATTTATTAAAATGTTTGGGAATTTTGTATTTTAGCACTTGTGTAAATAGCTGATGGTGGCTGTGCTCTGAGGTTCATTATGAAAAAATTGGAAAAAACAGATAGTAGGATTTTCTTAAGTTCCGGGACCAGCTAACATATGATATTGATCCAGAGTGTGACTGTAGGGTTATCTCGTCCCCAACACAACTCATACCCGTGATAGATCGTACTCATAAAGGTTAATTCGTACCCACGCCAACTTGTACCCAAGATAACTCGTACCAACTCGTACATTGATGTTTTTGAGATGGAAACTCAGGCTTTATGTAGTACTGCAGAATATAGAGTAACTAGAAATAGACAACGAAAGTGGCATATAGATGACAACACTTCTCTGGAGACTATTATGCAGGCTGCAGGCTAGAATGGTTGTATATAAAAATATACACAATCGGTTCAGAGTACTGTAGTGATGGAAGGCTGCCAAATGGATAATGATGACATCATAAATGACTCACAAATTTTTAGAAATGTATCCCGTGATTAACAACTGTAAGGAAGAACTGGACGTATTATTGTGTTGTAAAGTCTCTGCTTTGTTATTTTTGATACGGATCTTCGTTTTAGTCTGCCCAGAAGACTGTAATGGCATCTATTACCGGCTCCAGTCCTGGCTATAAATTACATTGGTTTTACATAATTTCTTCTTCAAGCTTGTTTCCTCATGTCATAAGTGATCCAAAAGGTATTTAAAGGACTCGATTTTTAAGTATTCATTCCGCTTATACCTGGAGCTGGCAGACACTGGCCCCACAAGGGGTCACAGCTCAAGGTTGAAGAAACCCCAAGTCAAGAAAACTGTGAGGGGTAACCTTCGGAGTGAGAGTGTTGCCTGACGGCACCGAGTGTGAGCTCTTTCAAGACGAGACTTGACCAACACTGGAGCAGGTTCAGATACATTCAGGAGCCGGTGCATGCCCAGTACTTACCAACAGTGCGTAACAGAGACACGACAGATCGCGTAGGCAGCTGACGAGCCGATCAGTGGTGAAGAGGATAAAAGTAAAAAGAATCGTTGTGGGTTTTACCTTTGGTTTCTTTCCATGATCATTGTTTTGGTCTTCTCCACATTTATCTCAAGTCCTGTTGAATTTACTATTTCCTTAAAGGTTGTTGCCATCATATCTACCGTATTTGCCGGAGTATAAGACGCAGTTTTTTAAGAAAAAATGTATCGCAAATTACCCTGCGTCTAATGCGCCCGTATTACGGATGGGAGGCCGAGAGCCGTAGACGGAGGTGCCTAGCTAGGGAGTCTGGGACGAGCAGTAGTCCACTTAGCACAAAAATTGTGTTACTAATAATAAAATACTGAAAAACAAGCCAAATTATCACAATCTATTATCACAAAATTTCTGCAATTTTGCCGAAGACGTAAATTATGGCTCACATTGGCTTAATGGCAGAGGGAAGCTCACAACATCTCACTGTACCTCCTTCCCCAGCATATGTAACCCACACCAGATACTGTACACGTCTTACATTATTTAACGACTGTGTTACCCTTAAGAAACATTTGTTTATTATCTTAATGAAAAATGCCCCGAGAAAGATTAAAGAAATGTTGACAAAAGTTCAGTCGCCAGTCAGCCATTTGCAATGAGACGATGACGCCAAAACAATAGTGATACCCTGGTGCAGATCGCGGCATCACAAAACATCACAGCCAAAAATACGAGTCACATCCTGTCAGTAATTCTCTTGACCAAAATATAAACAAGCTACACAGCTGCTCTGATCAACGGTAGAGTTGGGTTATTCCCCTAACATTTTTTTATTTAAATTTCCTACAGAGTTTAAACTCGCGGTTCAAAAACAACGAAGGCATTGCTATAACATTAAGTTTAAGCTCGATGTACTTTGCTGCTGGCTATGTAGGCTACGATATTCACTGAAATACCAGTTTCTATTACAATGCATTAAATTTTTTTCCTATTGTTTGCTGTGTACTAATATTCAATGAAATATTTGCTTTGTCTGCATATACTGTATCTATAGTATAGGAATTCATTCAAATTTACTGTACTTTGCTGCTTGCTTTGTACCAATTTTTACCGATATATTAGCTTTGAAATATTCTTACTAACAAGGAGAACATCATTGTTTTTCGGGGGTTTTGTATTCTTTGTATTTTTATTTTGATAACTTTTCATCCTGAATTCTAATCTGCAACACTGTAGCTGAAACCATTTTGATTATTTACAACATAAATGCTCTCAGTGAGGAAAACTGCTGCATGTTAGGATATAACGACACAACAAAGGGCAAATCTAACCAACCTCACAATTATGTGTAATGCATATATTGTACACTACTGTATTTTCCACCTTATAAGACTCACTTTTCCCCACAAAAGGGTGTCCCAAATTCATCGACTCGCCCTGTGTCTCAGGTGCCAAAGGTTAACTCGAGGCGGCTGAAGATGCTGACTAAAACAGAGGTGGTATTTACTGTAATATTTAAGGACAGTAGCTTGGGTTATCCAGCTACCTTACAAAACACATCTATAAACCAAAACTTATTTATTAACTCAAAGATAAAGCAAATTTGGTGGAGGGATAATGTAAAGAAAGACCAGTGTTGTTGAGTGCCCAAGATTGCTGCTGCCATCATTGCTTGTGTGAGCACCAGGAGGCTTTGTCTTGGTCCAAACAATGCTGTTTCCATTTCATACAGTACTCCTAATGCTAAACAATAGCATTAATTATACCAGTTTTATCTGTAAGTAATGATGGTAAATTAACCTTTCTTTCATAAAGGAGTTCTTTAATCAAGTACAGTATAAGTACAGTGGTCCCTCGGTTAACGAACACAATTCTTTCCACAGAGTCGTTCATTAACTGAATCTATTATTTTAATGGGATATTGGGTGATTGGTTCCAACTCACAGAAAAAAAACGTACAAAGTACTGTATACCGGTAATAGAATTAACAAAACATTAAATATAAACTAAATACAGTACTGTACTGTACAGTATGCTGTACAATAACAAATAAAAAACAATAGAATATTGTATTATTTAACTTATTTTGAGGTGTGTATGTCGTATTCCCGGCAGCTTTGTTTACATTTTAAACGGCTGATTGTAGAGGGAGTCGATGATGACATGCCATATTCTTTACAGAGTGCATTGGTTCTAATGCCTTCTTCATGTTTCATAATAATTTCTGCACTGTATATTATCAATATGTTAACTAAATTTCAGAATGAGACCAATAATTTTAATATAAAAAATGCAGAAATATTCAAGAGACCATTTTTCTTGAAATTTACTTCACTGGAAACGAATGTAAACATAGAACCAATTACTGTATCGGCGGACTAGCCGATCAGCTGATGCGCACAACGAAACGTGTTTGTTGTAAGGATTTCGTTAATCGAACTGAAAATCCTTATGGGAGATAATTCGTTAACCAAAACGTTCGTTAAACGAGGGACCACTGTATTGGGAACTTAATCCAAGGGTGGGAAGCACTGTTGCCAGTTTGGGGATTGTTACCAGCCCTAGAGACTTAACTCATCTCAAGTGGCAGTTTATACTTCACAGTATATTAAGTTTCATCATACTTATTTAAATTCAGCTGTTGTGTTATCTCTAGTCATTTAATTTTTTTTATTTATTTATTTTTTTATTATGATTCTAATAATTTCAAAGACTATTTCACAATTATGTTTGGCAATACTTGAATAGGTGTAATAGCTGCCAGACTGGCTTCTTGTCTTATATGAAGATTATTCTACCAGTACCCCTCCTTAGCCTTTATATACCTCTACTGTAGTACTGCTTCATATAATTTAAGTATTGAATATCTGATTTGTGTAGCGGATTTCTTTACAGTGCAATAGGTTCTCCCCTGCTAAATAATGCTCTACATTTCAGACCCCTTTGCTGATGCAGCACGTGGGACAGATGAGGGTGTCCAGGATGGCCTTGTGCATATAAGGTAAGTTAGGGCCAGACTTTAAGCATTGGAACCCGTAGTGTGTGTGTGAAGGAAAGGTTGAACAATAGGTTGGGAGAAGGGGAATAGTGAGGGGTGAGAGTTAACATGAAGTGATAAGAACTGACAGGAGGTCTTTTATCATGGCCACTTCCTCAGAAATCCCTGGAGCGAGTTATTGCAGATTAAAAATACAAGTTTTGGGGACTTGCTCTCCGAGATATGTGTTGCGTGTAGTACGATAAATTAGTTCTACAATACTACATCAACAGTAGGTCACTTTGATGTACATTTTGGTACAGTATATAACATTCACTTACCTTGAGTAGTTCAGCTTTGTAGTTATTGTGCAGAGTTTGGTATTGGTGTCTTATTTACATATTTTTCTAGTTTCTTACTATATTGTCATCATCGTCTGTAGGGTATGGTATATATATATATATATATGTTAAGATGACTTATATACATCTTGAAATACTGTACTGTATAATTGAAGATTTTTTGTTATTTAATCTTTTGAAATTCCGCAGAATCCAGCAGCGCAATGGCCGGAAGACACTCACCACGGTGCAGGGTTTGTCTTCGGACTATGATCTGAAGAAAATTGTCCGTGCCTGCAAGAAAGAGTTTGCATGCAACGGCACAGTGGTTGAACACCCTGAGTACGGAGAAGTGAGTAACGGTTTCTATAGTATTTATGATACAAAATTTTTATGTCAGTGGGACAAAAAACTTGGGCTATATTTAAAGTTTTAATGTTGATCTCTAAGTGGTGTGTATGTAGAAAAATTCACTGGGTTGGAGGATGCATAAACTGGTATATATTGAGCAGTACAGTACCATACATATTCCTAACCCAGTAGAATGTATTTTCACGCTGGTCAGACATCCCCCATGTTAAACTTTGTTCCCCTGTCTTTTATAAACCAAACACCATAGCTGTACAAAAGTGTAGAGTGATGGATTCATTATTTTTGCTATTTAATTTTGTTTCTGGTATCACATACACTTACTGAACATGTACAGTACTTTAAATTCAAACCATGACCACTTTGGTATCTTTTAATATTGTCCACAATACTTACGTAGAGAACTAATTATTGTATTTTGTTCTGGGGTTTTGTTCCCATTCATTTTGATAGTGAGTCAGTCAGTTTCTTTCGAATTTGGAACATGTCTTTGTTTTGTGATTGGTCATGTATAATTTTCTTCGATGTTTACATTTTGATTACCAGTAAGAATTCTTGTGTAGACTTTGTCACAACCGTTTGACAAACTTTGATTTGGGAAGTTCATTGGTTTTCCTGAGAGGGTTTTTTTTGTTTGTCTTTTGATTGATTTCCCTTGTGAAATGTCTTACAGCAGAATTTAGAATTGCATTTACAGCATTGTTAAAGGCCTAATGATGTGAAATTTTATTACTGTTGACCTTGTATACAGTTATTCTATGTAACTAGATATCTTAATCCTAACTACGTACAGTAGCATCTTTGTGTATTAGAGGCCACTGGTCATTTTTTCCTACCATTCTGTTGACAATCTTAAGTTTCATCTCTCTCAGGATATTAAGTTATTTGGACAGTAAGTATGAAATGACTGGGATAAACCTGATGGATATCTCCAGGTATTGTGTAAGGTGAACACCGTAGCAAAACCATAATGACCACAAGTGATAGAAGTTTGTGTTTGCTTTTGATTTTGGCTACTTTGCATTTAAGTGGGAAAAGGCTTCAGAAAAATAAAAACTCATGCTTTAAGAAGAGCCCCAATTTGATTGCTTTAAACCTCACTTACAACTCATTCACAGGTGTTGCAGCTACAGGGTGACCAGCGAGAAAATATTTGCCAGTTCCTGACCAAGGTGGGGCTAGTCAAGGCCGAGCAGATAAAGGTCCACGGCTTCTAATGCCCCACCAACACTCAATACAGCACTGCTGTCCAGAACCCTGGGCATGCCACGAGTTTCCCAACGTGTCACATAAGACTAATAATCCCCCACTGCGACTACCACTCTTCATAACCATGTGATCTAAGTGTCCATCTGGTCTCATGCCAATGGTACGAATAATTTATAATACTTTCAATGTCACGATCCTTTCTATGATCCCAGCCGAAGCCAAGGGTTCCGGGTCTGGTGGAGAACTGACGGAGGCACTTTAATACTGCGGTAATCATCAATCACGGTGGGGGTGGCGGGGGGAGGTACAGCACAACACCACTACAGTATCCAGGTGCCATGCCCCTGAGCAATAACATCTGTATTATGAGATATTTCACAAGATTTTCATAACTTCTTGCCTCCCAATAGGACATGTACACTTGTACAGAATTTACTTGACACCTTCAAAACTAGGATGTATCTGGATAATTGTATAGATGTGTTTCGGGAATGATTGTTTATGTTAGAGCGAGCGCAAGGACTGCATTGATTTTCCAGGCTGTTATTTTTCTACACAGGATTACTCGAATTGGTTTTTAACGTCAGTGTTTTATGTTTGTTTGGTGTGTAGTGCAGCTTTTCAGTGATGTATAACCAAATAAAGATCTTAAAATAAATGGGGTAAATCCCCTTTCCTTTCATCAGCCTACTTAATGGGTAGTTTATTCTTGGAGTTCGATATTACTGTAATGGGATTGGCTTCCCGTTTTAAAGACTGAAGTGCTCTTTAAATCTGGTTTACCAGCCACCATAATTTCAGGGCTATAGTGTTACTTTTATGACCAGGTTTGTAATGTACAAAGCTGAATAAATAAATGCAGTTGTGAACGAGTACTGCTTAACCCATGAAGAAAAATGTCTTTGATGTACTAGACTAGAGTAATAACTGTATTGATGTTCTTTGTAGCTGTATGAGGAGCCAGGAAGTTTTTTCTTAATTTTAGGGTTTCTTAGTATACAGTACATACATGCAGCATGAATTATATCCTTGAAAAGATATGGTGAATCATTATACAAACCTTCGCACAGGCAGGAACTTGGCATGCTGCCATGACAGGAGTGCAAACTCATGCATTTGCCATGCTGTGCTGTGACTAGGTTGCATTCTATTTTCAGAGTTAGGATGCCTAAATCTTTGTTATTTGGGGTTTTTGTCATGAGGAACATAAGTTTTAATGTTACTAAAGACTGTGGTTATGGTTACAATCTTTATGAAGTTTCATTGGGACAGGAAGCCATGGGAGCTGAATTTTAGGTAAAATTGTACTGTACAGTATTTGTAGCTGTCATTTTGTTAATGGCAAATTGTATTAGTTACCTATATTAAATTTATTGTTTATTTGATATTGTACATTCCATTGGTTTTAATAAATGTGAAAAATTTACTGTTAATTTTTGCATTAATGTAATCCGCAAACAGCATGTGATTACACCATTACAAAACCATATTGTGATTAGGTTACAGTTTTATGTTCCCAAACTAGGTGAATTTTTGTACATCTGCAGTCAAAAAGTTATAATTCTGATTTAAGTTTTGTTAACCTGAAATTTTGTTGTTGCTTATTACTTACCTACTTTAGGTGTTGTATTATGGGGTGGATCATTGTGTCCTAAATCTAAAGACAAACTGTTAACCCCTTGGGTATGAGGAGTCTGCTGAATATAATGGGCTGGCATTAACCTGATAGAATATTGAAAATGGCATTCAGTAGTGAAGGTGTTAATGAACTATAATGATGTGCAATAAGAGACCCATTACTCATTAAAATATTAGTTCTAAGTACTGTAGCTACTAAGAAATGGTCCTGAACAATACTCAGAAACTTGTCATTGTATGATGCACTATTGGATGCAATCATGCAACTACAGGGTAGTAATTTAGTTTTGTGATTGTTATGCCTTAGGCTGTAAGTTAAGACAGCACAGTAGTCAAATTGTTAAAATGGACTAGGAAAATATACCTGTATAGCAAGTACTGTACTGTCCACCAGTGTGGGTATTGTATCAATTACATATAATTGGTCCTCTACAAACTGTCATGCTGTGGTCATTCACCCTGTGTTGGACAACTATAGTAATACTGTACTGTATTGTAGTCCAGATGAGTATAACCTGTGGAGATTATTAAAGAAAAGGTTTGCAGGGATTTAAGTTTGGAAATTCCCTACTTTTCAGACTCTTCCCAGATTGTCACAGCTTATGAGAACTAAGTACATTATTATGCCTGGAGACTAAGGGCTTTCCGACAATAATTTAGAAGAAAAAAAAAAGCCTGCTTCCAATCCCTATGCAGCCAAGACCTCAGGCTACAGTGAGAGATGAAATACAATTAAGCTTAGTTATAGGGAGGGCCTGGAAAGAACATTCAATCCTTATAATTTTGTCTGGGAGAATACATTCATTTAGGGTTGCCTGTAATATACTGTTAGTAGTGCTTAAACCAGTTAGGAAGGTTACAGTGGTCAAATCCACATTTGATCAAGGAGCATACCCATCTTTAAGGAACTGTCAGTGTAGAGGTGATGTACTGTACACCCAGGATTAAGAAAAACTTATATTGTGAATGTCAATCAAGTTGCAGGAGGATTAGATGGTTTATGGGCACACATACTAAGGCTCTGTAGTATAAAGCAAAACACTTGCTCAGTTTTTGGGTGTTTATAAGCAAATAAAAATGGGTGATATAACTTCCTTTCTGAAGGATAAAGAACAGAATAAGATGGATTCACTTGTGCAAGAGGAAAGACTATAAATGTTGATAATGCTCATATAATTGTGTAGCTTATATTTTGAGGTCAGTGCATTTGATGAGAATTTGAAATATAAACTGCTTGGACGACCAGTACCAAGATGACTTTTAAGGATAAAAAAGAATGAAGCAATACCAACATTACAGTACACTACCTTGTTCAGCTGTGGGTATTGACTTGGAAAATGTTGTAGAGGCAGAGAATAATTATGAAGTGCTTTGATGTCTTTGTTACCCATAAATTCTCCCAGTACCAGTTCCTTGGGCATGATGTTAAGAAGGAAAAGAGTTCGTGGAACGAAGTTGCAAGGTTTGCTGAGGGAACCAAGTGATGATTTCCTTGTAAAATTTAAGGGTATGGAGAGATTATTCATGTGTTTTCGTAAAGAAGGTGAACTGAAACCAGGCAAAGGAGTAATAATTTATTACTCCTTTGCCTGGTTTTATTACTAATAAAAACACCGACTTTGGACATACCACAGCAATTCAATGTTTACTGTATGTATGAGTATGTTTTTGTTTAATTTTTTTTTCTCAGGGAATAGCCCACTGGGTCACAGGTCATCGACTCACAACGGGGCCATAAAGGGTTATTCTAGTGTGACCAACATTCACACAAAAGGTGGGCACTGCGGGGAAGAACAACCACCAGGGGCGGGTCCAAGACGTTATGGGTAGGGGAACATAGTGAGCTTACTCAGCTGTATTTTTTTGGTGGGGGGGGTGTTATCCCCCCCTCCCCCAGATTTTTTTATTTATTTATTTTAATGACCAATATCATGGGCACTTAGAAGCCATGCTCACTTGATATTAGGATATATTCTGAAATCGATAGTAAATACTTTTTACTAAAAAATGCATGAGTAAAATACTGCATTAAACCAAGAAATGTAATAATGTACTAGTATCACATGCTATAGCTCGGCTCAATAAAATCGTCTGGCGTTAGCCAGAATAAAATACCTAAGGGTTAAAGAAAATTCTAGGTACCCTTCTACCCCTGGATCTGCTCATGACCACCCCAGATATGAGAGCAGTACTCCAAGTTAGGTCGAATGAATCTCTTATAAACTTGAAGCAACTTCTCAGGAGTGAAGTAGCTACAGCATCTGTACAGTATTTCCAGCTTTCGGGAGGCAGCTTTAGCAATGTTGTGAATGTGTGGCTTCCATGACATTCGAGGATGGTGTTTTGGAATACGCATTCTCAACAAGTATTAAAAATTCTCGGATTCAAAGTAGCAAAATCATTAAACTGGTTATATCAAAATGATATATCATAAAATCACATGAAATATTAATGTTAAAATGGAATAAAAGCTATTTATGTAATCCACTTTCATTCTGGTCACACTGAAAGGAATTGTATACATTTAATAGCCGCTACAAAAACTGTTAGCAGAACGTAAATAGTAATGACAATTACTGATGCTGAAATTTAGTGAGCCATGTATATGCTGACAAGGAAACATGAAGTTCCCAAGCGCTTTCGTGTAATTCACATCTTCAGGGACAGACTAAGGAGTAATCCCTGAAAGACAAATATATACAGTAAAGAAGTGCGAGTTTAAGTCCCTAGGGGCAGTAGGTGTCCACCATATTAATCAGGACATTAGGTAGTGACCCAACCCTTTGACCTGGTTACAAATCTTGTTAACCACAAAATTGTCCAATTTGTTACTTACCATTACTCAAATTCATGTTGACAGATTCGGTATGTTTGAGACTAGATTCTATAATGTTCCTACTGACAATTGAAGTACAAGGTAAGATTGTCGAGGCATTAGCCCAGTCAATGCAATGATTATTATTCTCTCCTTTGAAAGAACAAAGCAGGAATCTTTTGCTTGACCAACACTGGAGCAGGTTCAGATACATTCAGGAGCCGGTGCAGGCCCAGTATTTGCCAACAGTGTGTAATAGAGACGTGACCGATCGCCCAATCGTCTAACGAGTTGATCAGTTGCGAAGAGGATAAAAGTAAAAGTAAAGTATAACGTCGTTGTCAGAAATATACAACAAAATATATGATGCAGAAGACACACCTACGTTACAATGGAGATAGTGTCGCCATCCCATCACTGAGGAGACCAACTAAAATAGTTACCAAGTGTCGCCAACTGCGCCTCGAGTATGACTTCTTTATTAGATATTCTTGATGTACACACAGTATCGTGACGTCATTAGTGAGCTCGTTCCCCCAGTGACGCCGTGAGGGTAGTTGTGTTGTTACTAGCTGCTCTGTGGTGAGTAATTTTTTGAGTACAGAACTGTATTTTTGTTTTCATATTAAGTTTTTTAAACACAAGGTTTGTGTCGCTACTGTCATTTGTGGTGAGTAATTTGTGTTTTAAGTTACATGTAAAGTTATAGTTGGTCAATCACCGTCATGGTAGTTTGTCAACCCAACAAGTGGTTACCGAGTGTTATTCCGTCATGAGATGGAAATTTAGGTGATGGTGTTTTATGAAAAAGTAAATACTAATTAAAATTCCGTCATTTAATTGTACTGCGCACATCATTGTCATCCCTAAAAATCCCATCTAATTCATATTACGCTACATAACATTCAAATGCACAGCGCTTGTAGAACCCCAGAAAACGGGAAACATTGAGAAAGGACAACTCACCTACTCAAGGTTCCTAGACCATGTGTGGTATTGTACCCAGGTATAGTTATATCATATCAAGTGTATGTATTCATAGCATTAAGGATCACTCAGGGTAGGCATAAGATGAATGTTAAGTCCAGTTGAGCCGGACTAGGGTACTGTAAGACTAAGTGTGGAGCAGGGTTTGAAGGTCCTACTATTTACGTCTGTGAGCGTGTAGCGAACCTAACCCCAACAGATATCATATGAAAATACATGAGAACAATGATCGGGAAAAAGGGATAAATGTATCAGAACTATGTGAGGTGTTGACAGTGATCTAGAAACTATACTGGAAAGGAAATATCGTGTATGCGTCGGTATGAATTTAATACACCTCGTAGCCTCACGTGACATATACCCACGACAGGTACAGTGATCAGAGAATCTGAGGTCTGTGTTCAAATAGTGCGCTGTGTGAGAGGAGGATCCCTCATTACAGTTTTTAAGTGAAGTTGATACACCCCCGCCATGATCATTCGGCTTTTGTTTCAAGGCGCGTCATGTACCCGCCTCAGATGCCCGTTGATATTAAAATCCCAGGCATTTAACCAAGCACTAGCAAACCAAGACCTGACCTTAGTGTATAAGTTAGGATTAATATATGTGTTTATAAGAAATGAGTGACAATATACCGTAAAGTGTTCAGGGGAGAACCATAAGAAACAAAAATGTAAATTGAGGATTGGAAACTGTAGGCCTATGTGACGAGAAGCGGCGGGAAGCCGGCCTTAGTCTTTCCCGTTCTGCCGTCAACACAGGTCAGTGTCCTAGCGGGCTATATCCCGCCCTACAATTAAGGTTGATAAATAACAGTTACTACAGTTTAAAGCTTTGCCGGATATATAAGTGTGATAGGGATGTGTTAAGGGATGGGATAACCGCCCGTCAGGCATTATTGCTTAGTCTTTCCCGTTCTGCCGTCAACACAGGTGCCACGTGGTTGGGGTATCTTGCCGCCCGGCCGCCATTGTCTCCTGGAGCGCCACACCAGGTGGGGAATTACTCCCCACTATACCAGTCCACTATGAACCGGTGGATTCCCAGCGCACCACCCCACATGATTAGTCACAACTAAGGAGACCGTGAGAAACTGCGGTCGTCACTTGGAGCGACCTATAATACCA